AGCAGAGATGTGGCTCACTAAGTAGGGAGAATGAGTGGGCCACCACTCTCCTCGAGGCTGATACATCTGGGTGTGTGAGAAGTGGATGTCTGTCCAGGCCATGTCTTCTCAATTACTTGTTATGCTTCAGAGAGCTGGATAACGACTAGGGATGACAGAAGGGGAATGGATGTCTTTGAGGTGTGGTGCTGGAGAGGAGTTTTAAACATACCATGGACTGCCAGGAGAGCAAATAGGTCTGTCTGGGAGAGGGTGAAACCAAGTCTCACCTTGGAGGCTAGGATTTTGAAGATCTGCCTCACTTACTTTGGGCACATGGCCAGGAGAGATCAGTCCTTGGAGAAAGACACTATGCTTGGAAGGGTGGATGGACAGCACAGGAGAGGGAGACCCCGGAGGAGATGGATTGATGCAGTTACTGGGGCAATGGACGCTGGTGTGTCAGAATTAGTGAGACTGGCTCAGGACAGGGAAGGGTTCAGAGTTGTTGTACATAGGGTCACTATACATCACTGGCCAACTCAAGGGCACATAACAACAATAACATACTATGACAGGTTTGGAAGCAGGAGTTGCATCCACTTCCTAAACAAGATGCCTTCAGAAACTCTGTGAACATTGATAAATGTCTATAGTTGTAGAGGGGCTTCAGGCCTTTTGTTCATAGGGTCGCTATGAGTTGTGCTCAACTCGAAGGCAATCAACAACAACTTACTTCTGAGTGTTCTTTGTATTGTAAGCATCTCATTGCACAAGATATAATTCTAGTCTTTTCATGTACAAATTTCCTAAACACCAGCCAATCACTTTGAGGTGTTCAAGCAAGAGAAACAGTAATCTGTTCCAACTCTTGAGGAAAATGCATGTGTCACACGTGATCTTCTGAAGGCAACGTTGACCAAACAATAGTCTGGGCTCAAAAGCTGCCTTTATATTAAATGCATCTAACGTTGCCTTATGTGACAGAACTCCAAGGACAGCATTAAGTTCATGACCACTGCCCTTGGGTATGCATACTGGCAGGCTGACCCATGAGCAACAATCTAACCTGACCTCTAGACATTCAGCTAAAATAAATGCAGGGAGAGGAGGGAAATTGCATTAGTTCAGAGCTTAAATGAGTTGGACACATTTGGATAATTCTGTAAGAGCCAGCCTTAGCCTGAAGTGCCCCTTGTAGCAAGAGGTGAGACTGCAGAAAGAAAAAAAAATTTTTTTGCTAAGTAAACAAAGGGCACAAACAGGAGAAGAAACAGAACAATGGTCAGACAGACACACAGATTATAAATATGGCCACCAGCCCATGGTACCTTCTTTAAGAGCAGACATCCAGGTCAGGCTTTAACTCTGTAAAGCATTTTCCAAAAAATGACACTATTTGGTCATCACAGCAAACTCTTAAGCTAAGATTGGAGCCTGTGTGTCCTTCCCCCGGACACATGGAAACCGTGGAAGACTGGAGTGACAGCCCCGTTCTCCAAGTTCACAGGACACCACTTCTGAAATCAGCCCAGTTCTCCAAGCTCACAGGACACCACTTCTGAAACCACTCCAGTTACCACCCAGAGGCTGAGGATGCCTGAGGCCAGTTCTGCAGCCCCAATGTATTCCTACTCCCCTTGCTACATTCACAGACTTTACCTACAAACTTAAAAACAAACAAACTCATCATCTTTATTACCTCTCCTGTAAGTTTCATCTTTCTCCACATACTCCCCTCCCTTTGAGTAACCTTTGGTTCCTCTATCTACCTGAATAACAAAGTCCCCCAAGTAATGAGACCTCAGGGGCTCTTTGCCTTTCACTGCTGCTGCCTCCATCTGGTCTACAAGTCTCTCAGTTTCTGCATCTCAAGAGATACTCAGCCCATAGCCATGTCTGGTCATTCTCTAGTCCTTTTCATTCCTGTTCATCATCCTTCACACTGTGGTCAGTCATCTTCCTAAAACTCACATCTAAGTATCCCTAGACTGAAACGAGCAACCCTATTTACAAGTAGAGGTGGGTTCCGGACTTGTGGACTAAGTCTTACAATTTAAAGAGCCCCTCTATGTCCAGCACAGACCTGGGTACACCTAGGAGCATAATAAATATTTTGCTGATTTCCATGAGCCCTCTCAATGTGCCTTCCATTTCTGCTTTACAAGGTGCTATATAATCTCATCTGGTTTTCACAATCACCCCTCTGAAACGGGTGAGGTGCATATGTATGTGTGTGTACATGTATAAGCATGTATGTAAGTGCACATGTATAAGGCATGTATACAGTTCACTGATGATCACTTCTGAGACTCGCAGAGCTCCTCCAGCTAGTTGTGTAGGACAGCTGGGGCTCTGGGGCAAGGTTTATTATTTCCAACCTTTCATCCTCACATGACACCCACCAGTAGCGCTTTCTGAGAACTCCAGCTCAACCCAGGGCCAGGCAGGAGGCAGGTCTCCCGGAAGGAGAGGCTCAGTGCTGCCTACTCCTCTTCTGGGGTAGATGAGTCCCTGGTGCAAAGCAGCCTGAGGCTTTCTCTAAGCACCACGCCAGTACTTGGGAATGGGGTGATTTTTCAAAGCTCAGTGTGACTAAAGATTGGTCTTCCGTCTCTTCAGCAGAGGAATGGCACAGCCCCATGATTAAGAACAGCTCAGCAGACACTCTTACTAGCTTTGCTGGCATGGGACAAATGACTTAACCAATAATATCTATCTCACAAGGTTGCTCTGAGGCTATATGGTCAGGATGCATACAAAGTGTTTAAGAACACTTAAAGTTCTTAAAATCACTGTTTTCTGCCTCAGAACATGCAGCAAGTGCTCTATATCAAGTGGTCCCTGGGTGTTGTATATTGTGAACCAAAGTCTATACATGTGTGCCCGACACAGTTAAACACAGTGCATCAGCCTTACCGTAAGAGAACAATGAAGCCTACAGCCAGGCCGGCCAGGACTAAAAGGACAGCAGGAAACACAGCAGCCAGAATCACAAGGATAAACAGCACCATAAAAAACTGCTGCAGAAAGTTCTCGGCGTGAAACGGCAGCCTCACATCCAGCTCATCCATATCCTTGGAAAAACGGTTCATTAGCCGGCCGGTGGGAGTCGTGTCAAAGAAGCTCATTGGGCTTTTTAAAATCTGTGGGTAAAAGCAGGAAGGCAAACAGAGTCAAGATGTGTATTTAGTGAATCCCAGAGGCTCAACTGGGAGCAGAACTGCAGAGTGAGGGAGAACTCCTTTTTTTTTCTAGGACCCAAGGCAGTGACAGGAAATCTTGGAGAGTGAAACATCATCCACTGTTGTTCCCCTGAATGAGAGGGAATGTGAGAGAAGTCTAACCTCTGAGCAGAGTTCCAGAGAAAGTTCCCGTGTGTCTGTTCCAACCTGGGGCACAAATTGGAGTTGGGGAGGCTGGTGTCTTTGAGGGAGGAAGGATTATTGCCTCACAGCGATAAGAAGGCAAGCTGCACTGTGGATGTCCATCCCTAAACTGTCACCCAGAAATGTGCCTTATGACCCAGGTTCTCACAACAAACAGATGTTGCCACCACAGCAGCAGAATTGGGAGGATGACCCTTGCTGTACTCAGGGTTCTTTGAAGCAGGAGATGCTGTCTTGGCCTGACTATATCTGCTCGACAGTGGCTTCCTTTAGGGGTGTGGGCAGCTTTCCTGACCACTCCTCCACCCCATCTACCACCAGTCTGGCCTGTTGCCGTTTTGTGTTGTTGTTTCAGAGCTGATTCATAGCGGCCACTCAAGTAAATTTTCAGACACGGTTTTCCACACAGGAGGAGATCACCCATCCTCTTCCCACAGAACAGCTGATGGGTTCAAATCACATGCTTTTAGGTTGGTAGCGCAACTCCTTACCACTAGGCCACCACAGTTCCCTAGTCTAGGAGCCCATAGTTTTCCTTTAAAGTTGGCAAATAGATATTTGGTAATTGGACTGGATTACACCATGCCTCTCTAGTGGTTCGAATCCATCATCAGGTGGGAATTGGACAATCTCCTCCTATTCCATATACAACCTCAGAAACCCAATGGAGGTACAGCTGTGAGTCAGGTTCTGACTAAGCCCATCTATTTTGCTGGCGTAGCATCTCTGTCACTGAGAAATGGACAGTTGTGTTTTTTTCTGACTTGACAGCAATGGAGGGGTTTGGTGTGCTCCATGTGGGCTGTGGCTGTTCCAAGAGACCTGCACAGTGTCTGGGACCCATTGTTATGATTGTGCTCATGGGAAGCCCATACTCAGTGGAATGAACTGCTGCCTGGCCTGCATCAGCCTTAAGACCAGCTAGCTGTGGGGAAGACTGCTGTGAGCTATAGGGATTTTTCTGGCTGATTTTTGGAAGATCAGCAAGCCTTTCTTCCTGGTTTGTCTTGGGCTAGAAGTTCTGCTGAAACATGCACAGCAGTTTGCAAACCCTCCTGGATAGGTGGTCATGCAACGACTCAAGTCCAGGTCTCCTGCACAGAAGGTGGATATTGTGCCAATGAACCTCCCCTCCCCTCTTCTGGCACATGGTAGGTGCTTACCAAATGCTGAGGAGTGGATAATCAGATGCACATGCAGTCCCTAGAAACCATACCTTGTCAAACACCTGGTCGTGTAATGAGGAGGATGCCATCAGCGTGGTCTTGGTGAAGGTGAAGCCTTTGACGATGCCAAACACGAGCACAGACACCATGCTCCCTGCATACACCCACTGGTACAGGTGCTCCCCTGTGTCTGCCAGCACCGCGCCAATCTCACATCCAGTCTTATTGCCCTCGGGACCACAGGTTGTCTTTGCAGAAAAACAAGACGAGCACAAAGCACGGATAAATTGTCAGAATAGGGACTTTCTGAAGAATCTAGTTGTTAAAAGTGAGTCATGTGTGACATCAAGTCAATACTCTTCAGGGACTCTTTGAGCTTTGCGAGATCTTCTTGGGTGGTCACGATCCCAATAGGGAACCTGATTTGTGGGGTCTGGTGCAGTCAGTGGGGAAACAAGGCAAACAAAGCAGGTGAGGTCAGGCAGTTACTCTGCAGCTGGCAATGTTTCAGGAGAGCAGAGGGGCCATTGGGACAAAAACTTGAAATCCAGAGTCCATGAGGATCAATGAGCAAACCCAAAGCAGAGCAGACAGGACAGAAGACCAGCTGAGCTCCCTAGTAGTAGCCACCAGGTCTTCAGGGAGTCTCAAGGGCAAGCTCCATGGTCCCTCTTTTCCCTTTACTCAAGGAGCCCAAGAATCCCTAATAGGAAGGATGCCTCGTTGAACACAAGGCATCCTTGCATGCTTTAAGAAGGTCAGGGCTGCATCCCATCCAAGTAAGAGCATACATTTTCACTAACAGAACAGCTAAGACCATCTATTTCGCTGGCATAGCATCTCTGCCAATGAGAAATTGACAGTTGTGTTTCTCTCCAGGCAGCGTGCTAAAAGTCAAGTCTGCCTTTGGGAAGCAAACAAGCACCTTTCTTCTAAATGCAATTTTACTGATTACAGTAATATCAGAAATGTAAGCCAGAGGTGACTGATGGCTGGGCATCCGTGAAGCAAAAGCAGCCCTGGAAAGCTCTGTTATGAAAGGCCCAGCTTGCAGTAGAGATCCTGCTCTGCATTGGGGGGTGCCAGTATGGGTCTGCCGTTATTTTTGTGTGCTCAGTTCACCACTAGCAAGTGGCAAGCATCATGACCTTAACCTTGGGCTCTCCTGGGAAAGGCTTCTCTCAGAGCAAGGGGGACTGGAAGACACGTATATTCCCAAGACACCTCTACTTATGCACAGATCAGGCCATCCACTGGCTTTTCCCATTGGTGATGACCTCAGGAAGCTGTGCCAAACCCAGAGAGAACTATAACAGCCTCTTTTATGTACAAATCTCCCCAATGCCTGCTGACTTTGGTTGTCATAGCAACAATATTACACCAAAGAACAACCTTAGATGAGGGTAGCTGTGCCCACAGAGACCCCTGAGGTTTCAGAAAAGCTTTGAAACTATTGGTCCAAAGCTGAGAGTTACCAGGAAACTCAAATGAGAGCAGACTTCCCCATCATGCCCAGGAGATGATGTAACCCAGACTAGACAGGGAGAAGTGAACCAGAGCTTTGCATGTCCTGTCCATGTAGAGTGGCACTTGGAGAGCTGAGCATCAGGCAGTTTCTGTGACAAAATGACAGTTTACCTCAGAGGCAGGAAGACAGAAATCTATGTAGGGTTTCCTTGGGAACTACCACTTTCTTCTCAAAGGTAATTTGTAACAGAGGCTACAAACCAACCTTATCCCCACAGCCCGATATCCCAACTCTATCCCATAGACGGTCCACAGTCTTGCTGTATTTCGACAGCTTTCCTAGCCAATATCTTCAAATTCTCAAAAGATCCGTTGCCGGGGAGTTAGAACCAACTCCTAGCTGACCCTCCAGCAGCTTGCTCAGAAGCTGTAAAACACATGGGAGGAGATTGTCCATCTTTCTCCCTCAGAACCACTAGCAGATTTGAACAACCAGAGAGGGGTGGACTTTGCGTTAGTAACAGAACTACCTACAGACGATGCCACCAAAGCCCCCCATATTTTCAAAGGGGTCTCATAAAAATCGAGATGCTCTGTTTGCCTTGGGAAAAAAAACAAGAGAGACTTGGATAATCTCCATTGTATTGTTACTCCTCTTACTCAAAGTGACTCGTAGCTGACCCACCAGCCAGTTTTAAGTGAAATCTTATTGCATGGGAGGAAACTGTGCATCTGTCTCCCATGGAGCAACTTGTAGATTCAAACCATATGTTTTGGGGTTGGCGGTGCAGCTCCTTACCCCTAAACTATGAGAACGCTCCCCATTGCATGTGTAAGAAATGAACCTCAACTTGGTGGAAGAGGCTAGGGGATGACACTCTTTGTTCTTCATGTGGTGCTGGAGACATTCAAAACACAAAACATTTTCAAGTCAAAGAGATACTCACCTGTGAGCCTTTGTCTAGCCAGATACCCAGCCACCAGTTGCTGAAGGCAGGGCTGCCAATCATCAGGAGGAAGAGGAACATAACCAAGAGAGAGAGAAAGTACCCTACAAGATGGGGAGAAGCCAGTGAGATGTTAGAGTCCCAACCTGGCAGGCTATTCAAAGCCAGGAGGCAAAGAATCCCCACCTCTGGGAGCCATCTATTAGGTGAATGTAACAAGCTAGTCCCAGAAACCTGGCACTCCAGGGGATGTTGGTTTTACTTTATTAGAAAACAAGTCCAGTTTTCCAGCATCTTGGAAAAACCACCATTATGCACTTTAATAGAAGTGACTTGGTATTCTCTAAGAAACAAACAAATAAAAGCCCAATCTTGTTGGGGAGATATGGGGAATGAAGCTACAAGAAATGTCTTACACACTGAGATAGGAATGTGCATACAGACAGGCAATGAGTTGATTGCTATTGGACTCAGTGATTAGAATACTAGGTTGCAGAGGACACATAGCTAGTTTAAGCTGCTGCTCACTCAGCTTCAATAAAATAGAGCCTGGCAGCTTTAATGGAGATAAAGAATGATTCCATTTAAAAAGTTGTATTATCAGACTTTGGATTTTTAAGGAAGATGGCGGAAGCATTGTTAAACCCCCCAAACATAAAAAAAAAGTAATCGCTAAAGGAATCATAAAAGTGAACCCCACAGTTTAAGAAGGGATTTTTAAAATGCAAAATAAATGAAGAAACCCGTTGTTTTACACCAAACCTCCAGAAGCCTTAATGTATGTGTGGTACGTTTTCCAGGTCACTGACCCTTCCCCAGGGGATTCAGTCTGGACGAGCTGATGCACAGGAACTGTGGAGACAAAAACAAATCTAATAGCACATACTGCTGTAGCTGGGGAAAGGAGGGGTGCGAGACAATTCACCCCTCTCAGCAAGCACACACCATCTGCATGCTGCACACCTCCTAGGGCCATTATTACCTGTGCCTCCTATTGGCCTTGTACTGTCAAACACCCAACATAATGTTTGCTCCTTTCAGTTTATTTGATCCTCAATCTACACATTCCAGCTGTGTGGTGGATGTGGTTTTCTGGGAGGTAATTGTTAAGTCACCTGCACTGACTAAGAAAGAGTCCCTGATGATGGAGTACATTACATGTTAAGTTCTACTTTGAATCTCCCTGGAGAGAATGATGGGAAATCTTCTCCTGTAAATATTTACAGTCTCCAAAACTCAATGGATGGTCACCATGAGTAACATTTATTCAACAGAAATAGGTTTGGGGTTTTTTTACATTATATACTAAGAAGAGCCAGTGGTGTAGTGGTTAAGTTTTTGGTAGCCAACTGAAAGGTTAGTGATTCAAACACATCAGCCACATATGGGAGAAAGCTGAAGAAATCTATACATGTAAAGACGGGTAGCCTTGGAATTCCTGTGTGGCAGTTCCATCCTTTCCTCGAGGGTCACTGTAAGTCAAAGTCAACTGGACAGAATGAAATTGGGAGTATGTGTGAGGCCTTGAGGATGCAAAGCCTAGTTAGTTTGGTTCCCCTAGAAGCACATCTGCTTCTAGGAGGAAGACAGGGATATAAGTGGTTTAAAGGAGCTCCTAGAAGAAACAAATGTTTAATGACTTCAATTCATAACCAAATGATAGGTTGGTGGTTCAAGTTCAAGTTCCCTAGAAGAAAGGCCTTGAAGTCTACTTCTGAAAACTGACACATTAAGAAAACCCTATGGAATACATTTCTATGCTGTCGTACATGGGGTTGACATGAATCAGAGTTGACTCAATGGACTCTAAAGAGAGAAATAATTTATTTGGGAACCAAAAAGAGTAGTATGAACCCTTGAAAAATGACTTCTCTAGCTATTGTGTTGGTCTCCAGGTACCTTAACTGCAGACACATGTTCTTGCAAATCATCAACAGCTGTAGGATCAATATAAGAACACACTTTCCACACTGTGAGAAACAGTGACAAAGGTGGCAGAGAGTGAAGAGACTATGGCGCTGCTTTGAAATAAACCTGAGGAACCTTGGAGATGGAACCACAGTGAAAGGCTTTGCTTACTGGATGACTGAAACAAGAGCTGAGCTGTAACTACTCTGAGATAAAGTTTGCTGGACAATTGAGGAAACCAGAGGTTTTTGAGGAAACCAGCATTTTGCTGCTAAAATGAAATGTAGACTTTCACTAATTGAGGTTTTATGCCATGCTTTTAATCCGCCTTGAGAGTATTGGACTAAACTTGGACTTGCATTGATGATATTCTTTGCCTCCTCCACTTACCTAGTAAACCCCACAACTGTGTGTAAAGTCTGTGAGTCAATTCACAACGAAGGTTGAACACAATAAATGGTAGAAAAAGGTGTAGGATCATCTAGCGTGGCATGTCTGACCATATACTTATTTGTATGGCACTGTGGATATTATTGAGGGGGTAAGTTTCCCTTAATGAAGCAAGTAGATGTCAGACTCAGCCACTCTCATGTTGCAGTGGTTCCATCACTGTGGGTGACCAGATTTTAAGGCCATGTGGCAAAAATTCAGTCAAGGAAGAATCTCGGTATTTTTCTAAGAAGGATCTGAGATATTCCTACACCAACTCTCAATGGCTAGTGGTTGAGGCCGTTTCTCTTGTTGCTGTTGTTGTTTTTGTGTGCCATAGAGTTGCCTGTGACTCATAGTACAATAGTTCTGAAGCCTGTCCTATCCCAAGCCAATCTCATTGTCTCTGACACATATGCCCCTAATACTTTCAGCTCTTCCAGCATGACCTGTGACTGGAAAAACACAAGCCTAATGTGTTGAGCTGCTAACAAAAGGTCATCAGTTCTAACTCACTAGATCTTCAACAGGAGGAAACCGGGCAGTCTTCTCCAATAAAGATTTACAGCCTCAGGAAGCAGGGGATGTTTGCTATGAGCTGAAATTATTTTAAAGTCTTGAGGCTCAGTTATTTGAGCTACCAGAGGGATCCCTCAGACAAAGAAATGCAAAGCTGCAGTTGGAAATGGGGCTCCAGGTACTCAAATGCTGAAACAGGAATGTGGGTTGGGCCCTAGCATTGTCTACTACCAAAACCACATTGGTAGAGTTAAACTTACTGTTATGAGCAGCTTAAATGTAAGAAACATATATTAATTTTGCCGTAACATATTAGGAGATATCTTAAATTGTGTTTGCTGTGGGAAAATATTATAATGAATTTGATGCTTAAGTATAGAAACAAGAATATTTATGAAAAACATGCTAGCAGTGTAACATGCTGAAGTGGGCCTTTTTGAGGCCCACACCCCCACTGACCACAGAAAGTGCAAACCCAGGATATGGGAATGTAACTGATAACAACTTGCCTGTAAAGCTACTGTGTGAATCCTGATAAGGGAGTGTAACTTGTTACTGCCCATGTTGCCAAGAGAATGTAACTTGTAAATTTAAGAGTAAGAAATATATTGGGAATCAGATATATATTAAGAATGAAGGTAGAAAATGTTTTAAGAACTTGTTAAATCATATGTGAGAATTAAAATAAGAAATAAATTCGAAATTTGTTGTTAGGAATTATGTTAAGAATATATGTGAAAATAGGGAGCTCTGGTGGCCTGGTGGCAAGAAGCTGCACTGCAATCCCAGAGGTATGTGGGTCGAATCCACCAGATGCTCTGCTGCAAAAGGAGGGACAATCTCCTTCTGTACCTGTCAGACCTGATTTGACAGTACACACATAATAAATAATAATTTTTTTATAAAAAGAATATTTGTGAAAATGTACCGAAGAGTTAATATGTCCAATTAAGCCTCTTAGAGACCTAGGGCCCCCTGATCACAACAGGTGCAGGCCCTGGATAAGGATATATGACTGGTTAACACCATGTTGTCAAGGACAGAGCATGATTGGTCAAACCTATGTTGCTTTGGGACTAATGTATTTGGTTGAAAACTAAAATTTGAATGTCATTGGTTGAATATGATATAGCATCTAGTATGCAAGCTAAGGGTATTTATACCCCAAAAGAGCTCAACCTGAAACTCTCTCCATTTCAACCGGGAACACTGAGCTGAACACTGGAGACCCAAAGGCTCTTTTCAGAGCTGGAGACTTAACGGCTCTTCTCAGAGCTGAAGACTCAAAGGCTCTTTTCAGAGCCAAGAATTCTAGCCTACACTGATGAATATGAGCTACCAAGACAGTGGAGGACTCTGCCCATACCTATGGACCCTGGCTACATCGAATTGCTGAACTAGCTGAGAACCCCTGGCTACAGTGACCTGCTGAACTAGAGGAGAACCCCCCAACTGCACCAATAACCATGAGAGGCAAAAGAAGATGACAAGTTGGGATCCTGGGGTGAGTGAATGTTCTCCACTACTGATGAATCAACATGTGATGAAGTTATGAACTGTAATGTAGATAAATTGCAGTTAACTGTTTAATGCTTACTATGAATCAATGAATCAATATGTTGTGATTAATTTATGAATTGCAATGTAGATTAATTGCAATTAACAGTTTAATGCTTACCATGAATTAATGAATCAATATGTTGTAATGAATTTATGAATTAAAATGTAGATAAATTGCAATTAACTGTTTGATGATTGTTATGAATCAATGAATCAACATTTTGTGATGAATTTATTAATTGCAATGTAGGTAAATAGCAATTGTTGCTATTAATTAACTAATTAATCAATAAATTGTAATTGACTTTTGTAATATGTCTATGAGTAATTAATTAAGGCTCAAGGCTCATGACAACTTACTCATGGCTTCCCAATGATGTCATGGAGCCTCTCATGATGTCAGAGTAGAACTATACCTTACAGGGTATTTAGAAGTTGATTTTTCAGAAATAGATTATCAGGCTTATTTTCTGAGGGACATTTAAGGGGACTCAAACCACCAATCTTTCTGTTCACAGCTGAGTGAATTAACTGTCTGCACTGCCCAGTCATCCCTAGCTACAAGGGTGAACAAGAAAGAGGTAAGGTGAGTCCTGTATTTCCAGAGTTCACGTCATGCAGAAGGTATCAAGGGGCCCCTCATCAACTGTTGCATGGAATCTTGATTCCCTCCAAATTGCTTTATCAAAAAAACCAAATAAATTAAATAAGCCAATTGCCAATGGCCACTCCATGTGTGTCCAAGTAGAATTGTCTACCACTGAATTTTTATGGCTATAATCTTGAATATCTCTTATAAAGTTTTTATTTTAATTATTATTTTAACTGAAGTTTACAGAAAAGTTGGATTTTCATTCATTCATTGTTGCACATTACCCCACCCTTACTTTCCCCCTTTCCTTGTTCATTTTTTTTTAAATGTTCATTCATTGTTGTATAATTACCTCCCTCGCCCCCTTCTCCTCCCCAGTCCTCTTTGCAATGTACCTCTTATTCTGGACTGTTGTCATACGTATATGGATAATAATATATTCTCCTTTTAAACAGTTCTTTCCCTCATCTGTTCCAATGCAGTGTTCATTATCTATCCACTCTTATCCTATTCTCATCCCAACTCCATATGTCAGTGGTGCTATACAGTATTTGTCTACTTTTAACAGTAGATAGCCAGGCTTTTGAGGTGCCCCTGAGTGGACGCCAACCACCTGCCTTTTTGTTAGTAGCTGAGCTCTTTTTTTCCATCACACAGAGACTCTATGACTTTCTCCAGCCTTCTCTATGTCCCAAAATGATAGTTAGATGGCTTTCAGATCCTCACAGTTCACTGGAAACAGTGGCTATTAGCAGCTCCCAGCTGCCCATACTGGTGGCACGAGGAGTTCAGACATAGTGGCTTGAGTTTAGGAAAACAGTAAAGAGTTAGCAAAGTTTAGGATGATAGCAAATGGTTGCCTAAGTTTAGGAGGATAATAAAAGTTGCCTATGCAAAGTCCATTAACCTAATTAATTAGCTGGCTGAGAGATTGTTATTCTAGGGTCTAAGGATTTGTGATCCAGTCACCCTAATAAAACAAAACAAAAAAGCCTGATAATTTACTTGAAGAATGAACCGTCAGGAAGAAATTCCAAAAACTATCTGCCTCAAATATCAAACACAGGACATCTAACAACCATGAAAGGAATACATGGAACAAAGAGCCCTGGACACATCCCTCCTGGACTAGTCCTATGTTCCTTTCCCCTTGTCCACTACCTTTGACTACTTCCTTCAAAAGTATGGCTTGGGAAACCCTATGTGGTAAGAATGGGTAAACAGTACATTGCCAACTGCAATTCTGGAGGTTCGAGCCCATCCAGAGATGTCCTAGAAAAAGATGATCTACTTCCAAAAACTCAGTCATTTGTAAATAGTTAAAAGCGTGGCTTGATTCTGAGATAGCAGAAAATAGTCATCTGATTTCTCTCAGAACATCAGTATCTGAATAAAATATATTTAAAAATTTAATCACTGTCTTTACTCAATTGGCTCTTAGGGACAGGCAGACAATCTCCTCTGTTTTACAGTTACAAATACTAAATGCATATATTATTCTCTCCATAGAGAAGCATGGAAATGTCAACTCCAAAGCAGAATGATAAACCATACTTGGCATCTATAAACAGATAAATGGAGCTAAACAAGAGGGCACCCCCACACTACAGTCTCCAAACAGGACCGACTGCACACCTCAAAGGCACCTTACCAGAAACCACCATTATCTATTCTCCATTTGAAAACCTTTTCACATCATCTTTGAAAATTTTCAGCCCAGCTTTTGCTTCTTTTGTCTCCCTCTGGGGCTATAGAATGAGGAGCCACCTCAACTTGTGGACAGCACCTAGCGAAGGGCATCCTAGAGAGCAAAGGGTGATCTAGGGGACCCCTCACAGCCCACCAGCCCTGGCAGGGTGTTGTGGGAGTCTTTCCACCTTGGGTGCATGTGTAAAGTGCACTGGAGTCAGGGGGGTGGCTGCAAAGCATTTAATTGCTCCTGCAGCCTTCAGAGCAGTCAGCAGTCAGGTTGGTTCTCCCAAGGTTTGGGGACATTGGTCAGGATTTCACTCTTCTCTCCAAGGAATGGGGGTGTGGAGGACCAGAAAAGCAGGACTGACTGTCTCCTAAGGACCCCAAATCACAGGCACCTTGTCAATATTTTGCCATTTCAAACATGTGTTCTTTTGCCACAACCACCAATTATGGATAGGGCCAAATTTTATCAATTCCAAGATTCGGATTTTAACAGCTCTGAAGTCAGATGGCCTTTCCACTTTGATAGCATCTCATATCATTTAATCAGCAGAGATTTTTCTTTCTAAGTGGTCCATAAAATAATAGCGGTCTTAAAAAGGACAACATCTTAAGTCTTATTAAATACTCCAGGTTGTTTATTTATTTATTTATTTTTTTAGCTGTGTGTCCTTGAGGAACAGGACTCTCACTTGGAAAGCCACCTCACTGTGGACCCCTGGGCCTGTGGGACCTGCCCTCTGGCCCCTGCCAGCACTAGACTGGGCACAGAGCAGGTGCCCAATGGTGTGTAGCAATGAGAAACTAGAAGGTAGTTGTCAAAGACGTCACTGCAAGATGTTCAGTAGCATCAATTGGGCAAGCTGGCTCTCATCAAGCTCATCTCCCACATACTTCTTCCTACCTTCTCAGAATGCCCCCACCTGCACCCCACGGCCCTCCACCTCCCCATTTTCTCACCGCAATGTCCCTGTCAAACATCCACATAACCTTGAAGGCCTTCACCTCTATGAAACCCTGCCTGAAATACCCATTCTCACTCCTCACTTATTATAACTTCCATAATTATCCATTTGTCTGTGATCCCATCAGAGCCTCTTATGGTCCATTCCATGGAATCAGGATGAAAGTAATCTCTTTATTTTTATCCTCCTAGCCTAGCTCAGTGCACATTACATAGTAGAGTCTTAATCTTTGTTGAAAGCAAGAATAACCTTCTCTAGCCTTAATTCTTCCTCCACTGCTAGGCAATCCTTTCCCAATACTCTCCGTAAAGAGTGCAGGAACGTCTGTAGTGCCTGTACCTCTCCTCATCACTCTGCATTGCTTTGATCTCTCTCATAATAACACCACCTACAAAGAACTAGTGAGGGTCACTATGTCCCAGGCATTTCATGTACAACCTCTTACTTAACTTTTGCAAGAAACTATGAAGTTGAGAGTACTTTGTCCTCATTTTATGGACTAGGACACTAAGGCTCAGAAGGGCCATATAACCTACACAATCTCACAAATTAATAAGTTATTGTAGTTGGGTGTCATTGAGTCGAGGACTCATAGCAATCCTAAGAACAGCAGACCTGCACCCTGCCCTATCCTGTGCCATCTTCATCATCTCTGACACACTAGAATCCATTGCTGAAGTCACTGTGTCAATCCATCTCATTGGGATATGAAACGCTTGCTGCAGAAGATCAAGGACTACAACCTTTGTTATGGATTGCATCTTAACATCAAAGGGAAAAGAGGTCTGAGTTAGTTCACTTAGCATGAGTATGAGGGTCCAAGGGAGGGGAGGGTGGAAGCAGAGGGGTGAGGATGGGCGGGGGTGTGGAGAGGGGTGTTAATCACAGGGTTGCACAATTTGATGGGGTAGTATGAATTGTGGCATCAGGATTGGTGGAAGATCTATTAACAATTTGCGTTATGCAGATGACACAACCCTGCTTGCTGAAACTAAGGAGGACCTCATGCACTTGCTGCGAAGGGTCAAGGACTGCAGCCTTCAGTATGGACTGAGGCTCAATGTCAAGAAGACAAAGATTCTCACCACTGGACCAATTGGCAGCATCAGGATGGATGGCAAAGAGATTGAGATTGTTCACAGCTTCAGTTTGCTCGGCTCCACAGTCAACACTCTCGGCACCAACAGTCAGGAAATCAAAAAGTGTATCGCGATGGGAAAGTCTGCTGTTAGGGACCTCTCTAAAGTACTCAGGAGCAACGGTGTCTCTCTGGAGACTAAGGTGTGCCTGATACAGGCCATGGTCTTTGCAATCGCTTGTTATGCATCAGAGAGTTGGACAATGACTAGGGAGGACAGAAGGAGAGTTGATGCTTTTGAGCTGTGGTGCTGGAGAAGAGTACTGAATGTACCATGGACTGCCAGGAAAACAAACAGATTCATCTTGGAGAGGATTAAACCAAGCTGCTCCTTGGAGGCAAGGATTCTGGGGCTTCATCTGACATACTTTGGACATGTTGCCAGGAGGGACGGGTCCTTGGAGAGGGACATCATGCTTGGGAGGGTGGAGGGACAGCGCAGGAGGGGAAGACCCTCTATGAGATGGATTGATTCGATGACTGGGGTAATTGGGATGGGTGTGTCAGAGGCAGTGCGGTTGGCGCAGGATAGAGCAGGGTTTAGGGCTGTTGTGCATATAGGGTCGCTATGAGTCGCAAAATACTCGACGGCACATAACAACAACAACAACAGTATGAAGGAAATGGGAAGGATCTTTTTTGAAAAACAATGTATTCAAACTGTAAATAAATCAGTATAATTTTTTTTTTAAAAAGGTCCTCACTGCAGGACCAAAAGTCACTTGGTAAGTGTTAGAGGCAGAGTTTAAACTCATGTAGTCATGCTTCAAGGCAGCACTAAGCTAACTTGATGTTCCTCACTCACTCCCTGCCAACAAGTTGGCTCCAACTCACAGCGGCCCTCCAATGGGTTTCTGAGACTGCAAGTCACAATGCAGCAAAGTGTCCATCTCTCTACCACAGAGCTGCTGGTAGATTCAAACCATCAAAGACATGTACCTCTGGCTTGGTGGTGTAACCAGCCAGGAACGATATCGAGTTCCCTGGTCTCCAAAATAGCATCTGTAGTGCAGACTGATTTCTATTCCCAACTGTGGAGACTCAATAAATATTTAAGACTAGGTGAAATAACCCAAGTGCCCCTCAACAAATGAATGGGTAGAGAAGCTCTGGTATGCTATGGAGCATTGAAAAACCAAGGAACTCAAGCAATATTATTCAAAATGGATGACCCTGGAGGACATTATGCTGAGTGAAATATCTCAGTCACAAAAGGACAAATATTGCATAGGGCCACTGTTGTAAAACGGGACTGACATCGGGGTTGAGGGAAGACAGAAAAGGAGGGGAGGAATGATGTATATTACACTGAAACATATAAGGGAGAGAACTGTTTAAAAGGGACATATGAATGGGTATTCTTGTCATTACAGAAGTCCAGAGTGTAGGTTGCATAGCAGAATGGACTTGGGGGGGAGGGACTGCATAACAATAAAAGAGTTTTTCTTTTCAAAGAGAAGAGTGAATTGGGGGGAGGGAGAGGGAGGGAGAAAAGTGCAACAGTGAATGAGTGGAAACCCTAAGCCTCTGTAAACTTTCATTAAAATTAATTTTTTAAAAAAGACTAGGTGAATGGGGAAATGAATGGTCAATACCTTTTATGTCTACAAATTCTATGTCTGTTTCAGATTCTTTCCGTTCATTTTTCTCATCTCTTGGAGCCAAAACTAGGATAAGAAATAAAGAGAGGTCTGTGTCCATCTGCGAGTCACGGGCAGTGGGACAGAGGTGATTCTAACTCTGATTGTACCAGTGTCTTCGTCTCTCTCAGCGGGGCTCTCCTCGAGGGCTTCCATCATGGCTGCATTGTAAATATGCTCAGGATCCTGGGGACAAGAGGAAATTCCCTTTGAACATTAAATGATGCAACTTCTTCCAGTCTCAAAATGATACAGTAAGACTTAGAATCTCTTCTGCCCGAGTGCCAAGAGTTACCTTGAATTGCAATCCTCTGAGGTTGTGGATTAATTTTGCATAGTGCCCTCTCTGCTCCATCAACTTCGGGTGGGTTCCCCGTTCGCAAATCTCTCCATCTTCTAACAAAATGACCTCGTCACAAGACTCCAGGAACTACAGAAAGAAAAGCAGTAGGATTCTACCTCGGTGAAAGCAACAAACAGCAGCCTGCCTAACTCTCATCCAATGGGCCTCGGGCTCACTTAGTAAAGGGTTTCCCTTTCTGTGTCAACTCTAGGCTCCAACTAATGGCAAGCTCGCGTGTGTTGGATGCCAAGTACCAGAACTTTCTTCCAATGAACCTCTGTTGTTAGGTGTTGTCAAGTCAGCCAGGGCTCATAGCAACCCTATGAACAACAGAAACCCTGACCATCCTTCACCATCTCTGATATACTAGAGCCTATTGCTACAGTCACTGTGTCAATTCATCTCGTGGAGGGTCTTCCTTTCTTTAGTTGACCTTCCAACTTTCCAAACATGATATCTTTCCCCAAGGACTTCCATTCTAACAACACCTCCACTGTTGTTGTTGTTGTTAGGTACCACTGAGTCTAGTACTACTCACAGTGACCCTATGAATAACCAATCTGAACCCTGTCCTCTCTTGTGCCATCCTCACAATCTCTGTCACCTTTGGGCCCATTGCTGCAGTCACTGTGTCAATCCACCTGGTTGAGGGTCTTCCTCCTTTTTGCCATCCCTCCACTTTCTTAAGCATTATGTCCCTCTCCAAGGAAAAGCCTCCCCTAGCAACATACCCAAAGTACGTGAGATGATGCTTTATCATCTTTGCTTCCAAGGAGCACTCTGGCTGCACCTTCTTCAAGATCTGTTTGTTTTTTCAGCAACACCTCTAGGTGGACTCATATTTCCAACATTATCCATTTGTAGCACCCAGAAACTCTTCTTGGCATTAAACCAAAACATCAACTATCAACTACCTAGTCAATTTGGAGTCATAATGACCCCATATGTGTCAGAGTGTAACCCTGGTCCCTGGGACTTTCAGTGGCTTTGACCTTTGAGGGTGGATTGCTAATTATATGGCACTGGGTGAATTTGAATGGCCAAACTTTCAACTCAATTAGTAGCTGAGCACTCCATCATTTGTCACCCAAGCAAAACAAATAAACAAACAACCAAAAACCCCAGTTTGTTACTGTGAAGTCAACTGTGACTCACAGCAACCCAATGGGACAGAGTGGGACTGCCTCAGAGCTCGCAGAAGCTCTGTCTTTACAGAGGCAGACTGCTACATCTGTCAGGTGGGGCATACCACCCAGGGGCTCCTCACTATTGAGTTGAGGGACTAGAGAACCCTGTGTTGCCAAAGCCCGTGTTGTGCCTCATAGGATTTTAGCAATGTCATAGGCCCTTATGTATAAAATCTTTCCAGACATTGCCAAATGTACCAGGAGGGGGGCAGGGGAAGAAGGGTAAACTTTTCCCCTGTTGAAAAGCACTCGTGAGGATAGAGCTGTATCCATAGCTCTTGTGAGGACAAAGGTGGCCCTTTGTCTGTCAAGCTGAAGTACAATGAATCTATTCATTGAGCTATTGACTTCCAAATTTCAGTGACCTGCTAAGAAATCTTGGCTATCTGGGAAAGGGATTAACAAAATCACCACAGTCAAGACCAATCATTTGATGAGTCGCCTGTTAACAGTTTAAGCTTGCTTGACTCCACAATCAACACTCTTGGGACCAGCAGCCAGGAAATCAAAAGGCAAATTACAATGGGAAAATCTACTGTCAGTGATCTTGTCAGGGTACTGAAGAGTAATGATATCAGTCTAGAGACTAAGGTGCGCCTGATCCAAGCCATGGTCTTCACGATTATTTCCTATGCATCAGAGAAGTGGACAATGACTAAGGATGACAGAAGAATTGATGGCTTTGAGTTGTAGTGTTAGAAAAGAGTACTGGATAGACCATAGACTGCTAGGAGAATAAACAAGTTTGTCCTGGAGAAGGTGAAACCAGGCTGCTCCTAGGAGGCAAGGATTTTGAAGTTTCGTCTGACATACTTTGGCATGTTGCAAGGAGGGATAGTTTTTGGAGAAATATATCATGTTTGGAAGGGTTTAGGGACACTTCAAGAGAGGAAGACCCAGATGAGATGGATTGACACAGTAGCTGGGGTAATGAGGGTAGGTGTGTCAGCGACAGTGAGATTGGCTCAGGATGGAGCCGTGTTCAGAGCTATTGTGAATCAGGTCGCTCTAAGTCACAAGCAACTTGACCACACATAACAACCTTAACACTATTATTGCCATGGAGTTGAAGCAGACTAATAGCTGACCATCCAGCAGGTTTTCTGAAGCTGTAACTCATAAGGAAGGAACTAGCCCTTTCTTTTGAGAAGCCGCCAGGTTGGTGGATTCTAACCTGGAGGAAAGTATCCATCTTGGGGTTGGCGGAACAACTCCCTATTCAGACTTGGCCCCAAGAGCTCCCTAATCATGTGATAGAGAGCCAAGTTATCATGCTCTTAGCCAGAGCCTTCCTTTGTTAAAACAATCCCACAGTCGGCCTCATCCACTCCACAAAGCCCAGGAGAAGGTGACCATTACCAAGTGCTGGCCAACAGGTAACAGCCCTCAAACCTGAAAAGCTCCCCCTAGTTTTATCTGTGTGATAAAAAAAAAATCTAGTAACACGTAATGACGATAATCCACATTTTGCCCAGAGTCATTCTGTCTGTATCTCTAATTTGATTTTCCTTCATTTCCATATCACTCTGAGTTCTGCCAGAAGGGTTTTCCTTTCATTTCAGAATAAGAGAGGCTTCTTCCCATAGGAGTCACTCAGCTAAGGAAGGGACGCAGCCAAGATGCTATGAGCTTTAAGATGCTTCAGCCTAAGAAGGTTTCAGTGAAACCCAAGAAGGTCTGCCTTAGGGACACCCAAGGTCAAAATCATCCTTCCATGGTCTTGATTTTAGAAACCTGAAAGAAATCCTTAGGCTTGGCCTGATGCACACAGTGTAGACTGGAGGAGGAGCCCAGATGGCTAAAACAATAGGGGCTGACAGCTTGGCAAGTGTCAACTTTTATGCTTTCCTTAAACTGCCCAATTCTGTATCCTCTTCTCCAGATAATCCAACTAGTAACCCATTTCGCTTTCAATGTGCAGTCGAAATACATTTTCTTAGAGACTTTTCCCTGAAAACAACGTCTCCACAGTATTTTCTAATTCCTCAAAGCCTAGTTCCATCCTTTATCTTTTCATCTACCACAAAAGAGGCAGTTTTATTATCAGCCTAATTTCCAGATGGGGAAACTGAAGTTAGTATCGAGCCCTGCACAGCCTCACGCCCTCGCCTGCCTGCACGGGGCCACAGGCTTCATTCAGCCCAAAAAGCATCACTGAGACGGAGCCCAGAGGCCCCGAGTTCGTTTCAACACGACCCTGTATAGCTTTCTTCTGCAAACCCTCGACGATTTGGATGGACCCAGGGATGAATTCTAGCAGTCAGCCTGCTGGTCTCCTTTCATTTGTTGCCTCAAGTCATGGAAGAGCGATCACCCAGCCCAGGCACTCGGAGGCGTTGAGGCTGCACCGCCTGCCTGAGAGGCAAAGCAGCAGAGAATTGTTGTGCAAAGTCCCTTCAGGCTCCTCCTGGGGCTCTGCTCTGCCGCCTCCCCCACAGTGGACCCGGAGCGAGACCACAGTGCCACCTGGCGGTTACACGCACAAAGTGAGCTACAATGACCTTGGTCAAAGGTAGAACTCGGTAGACATTTAAACACCTTTTTTTTCAAATACATTCACCACAGATGAAGAGGCTGAGGCCGTGGGGGGGGGGGGGGATTTGTTCTTGCCTGAGGTCATATTGCTGGTTAGTAAATGTCGCAGACTGGACCAAAACTGATATCTAACCTCTAACTAGAAGATTAAGAATCCCATGGAATTTGCCATGTGAATTCCAACCACAGGCTACTTCGAATAGAGGGATAGTGGTTTACTTCCAAAAGGCCACAGCCTTGGAAAAAATCTAGCACGCACACACGCACCACCACCACTAACAATAACAACGAGACAATTGCCACAAAGTCAGATCCAACTTCTGAGTTCCAAGACCATGGCCCTCTCCTCTGCTGAGACTATAAATCTTTATGGGAGAAGACTGGTCTGCCCGTCTTTCTACCTCTCAACAGCTAACAGATTCAAACCTCTGAGCTCTCTGTTCTCGAGACAACAGGCAGCACGCATCATCACCAGACGTCCTTCTAGGAAGCACAGCCCCTCCTACTAAGCTACAATCCATGGTGTTGCCACGAGTTGAAATCTTACTCCCTGGCAACTGGCTTGCTTTGTGAGGATTCCTAGAGAGACTGATTCCACAGATCCACATTTGCCTGGTACCAGCTGTTCCCCTTCAGATCCCTGGACACTTCGGGAGGGCTGTCCTCTTGACGGCAGATTGTCTGTGCATCTCCGCTTGGTGAGTGCTCATTCCTGGGCTCTCCCTGGAGCCTCAAAGAAATAGAGATTTTTTTTTCCTCTCCAGCCTGGTTTCTAACCCACAGAGGCATTGGGGGTTCTAATCCACAAAAGCCGAGTCTGCCACTTCCTGCAAATGACCAGTCTAATTCGGAGGAAATCCAGTTAGTCTCCGCATATCCTTAACAAGGGTCAGCTTGGGCTACCAGCAGGGTTTCAGTTACAGTGACAGAAAAGCCTCTTTTTTCCTTAGTCTTTAAGAACTTTCCTCCTGGATACACAGGTCAACTGGTCCAACATAGTCCACAAAGACCATGTGCTAGCCTAACCCCTCTCTTGGATAACAACTGGAATCACAAACCCTTGTGAGAGGCAATCTAAGAGCAATGAGTAGTGAAAAAATCAGACAATTAGGCCAAAGGAATAACAAGACATGCCAAATTCAGTCGCCATGGCCCTGACACCACAAGTATAAGGTTATGCCTGACCATTACTGTCACTGCTGAGCACTTGGAAAGGGACAATAATAGAATAACCCTGACAAAGGAGGAGAAATCTGTGGAACAAACGCAAACTTCTTAAAAGGCTAGGCTTCCTAGATTGACAGAGGCTGGTAGAATCCTTTCATCACCCTTCAAGCCTACAATTGAAGTAACCTCCATAACTCAACTTTCAGCAACAGACAGGCCTGTAAAGGCGGCAGGAGAGTGAAAGACAGAGGACTTCTCCCCACCTCCCACAGGTCAGTCTCCGGGGATTTGGCCACCCGAAGGACAAGCGAGAGAAGGATGGACAATCTCCTCCCATGTGTCTAACAGTCTCTGAAAACCCACCCAAGGGTCAGCTATGAGTTGGTCCTGGCTCAAAGGTACACAACAATAGGAGTCAACTACAGGGAGGAGAGAGTAAGACAGGGAGAGGAGTGTACCTAGGTAGTAGGGGGAGGGTCTTGGATTCCCATCAAGGATCAGGATTCTTTGTGGGGGACAGACACATCAAGAACTGACCTCACCCTAACAAATTCTAAAAGTCTCTCAGGGTTAGGACTTTCCTCAACAACAGTCATACTCCACAATCTAGGGAGTGGTTCTGAGCAGAAAGAAAATTCCTGCCTTAATCCCAAATGCCTGGCATCCGGCTCCTTTCCCATGGAAAGTGTACTAGGAGCATCCTGGCGCCTCATGCAGGAGCTCACCATGTCCTGTCCTCCCCTGCCTGGGTCCCCTGGCTTCAACCATTGCTGGAGAAGGAGCAGCAGGGTCTGAATTGTCTTCTGGTCTCCCATTTACCCACCACTCTAGGCATTCTAGGATAAGTGTAGGGTCATCAGAAAATAGGAAGACCTCGATAAGATAGATTGACAGCGTGGCTGCAACAACGGACTTGAACATGGAGGAGACTGTGTGCATGGTGCAGAACAGGGCAAGGTTCCAATCTATTGTTCCAAGATCGCTATGCATGGTGGTCAGCTAGACAGCACCTAACAACAATGGTGGCTGCCAACTGGAGGTGGGTAGTCAAATGTCCAACCCCCACGCAGAGCTCAGTTGTTCCAAGAGAATCCACCCTTTGGAAGAGGAAGGACTTTGTCTCCACTGAGCCCACGGTGTCCATATACAGAGAGGGGTAGGCAGAACTATGCGGAAGCCAGGATGGCTGGGAGAACCATGCATCCCTCCTTTTCCCACTCCCGACCCAGCTCGTATTAAATGACAGAAGAGAGGACTATGTGCACGTCCAGTATCACGCCATGATCTCTTGGATCATGCCAGTCCCAGCCACCTGAAGCTGGTGGGTCACCAGGACGATGGTCTTGCCCCGGAGCATCTTCTTAATGCATTCTTCAAAGACATGCTTCCCGACGTGGGCATCCACAGCGGACAGGGGGTCGTCCAGCAGGTAGATGTCATGGTTGGAGTAGACAGCACGAGCCAGGCTGATCCTCTGCCTCTGCCCCCCAGAGAGATTGAGGCCCCGCTCCCCAATCTGCAAAAAGGGACAAACAGTCCACCATCAGGTCCCACCCACCACTCTGCAGCTCCTGGAGAACAGAAAGTGCTAAGAGCTTTGCAGCAAAGCACACAGTCTTCCCACCATCACATCACATCTCTTTATCCTCTACAGGAAGTCCCTGAGCACATTTGAAACTCTGTTAAGTGGAAGAGTTTCACTTCTTCAGGAAGTCTGGTGGGAAGTATCAACAGGGAAAAGGCCCTTCTTCACACGGAGCCACCTGCCTCTGCCTCAATTTTCATCCCATAGGGAGTATCTACATCTTTGCCTATTAGCACCAAAGAGAATCATTTGAGCAGAAAGTTCTGAGATAATGAACACATAACAGGAAGGAGAAGGGGCCAAAAGCAATGGAAAAGTGGCTCTGTATTTGCTTATTTCTGGATCAAGTAGCCCCCATTAAGCAACCATAAGTTCTATAAAGATAAAAAAAATGATAATCTTGTTCTTCATTCCACCTTATGAAACTGAGTCCAAAGGGGACACGTGTGATGTTTATACAGGTGTTGGGCTGGACCTGGGGGACAGGGTGCTTGATACTGAACTAAAAAAAAGCCCGTGTCCACTGCAAGTGCACATTTTGTAGGGAGATAGTTAAGCACAGAGTAACAGGACACAGCACATAACAAACACAAACCAAGTTGTTGTTGTGTTCTTTCAAATCAGAACCAACCCACAGTAGACCCTCCAGCGGGTTTTCAGAGGCAGTAAATCGCATGGGAGCAGACTGCTCATCCTTCTCCTGTGGAGCAGCTGGTGGGTTTGAACCGTGTGCCTTTGGGATTGTAATGCAGCCTCTTACCAATTGGTCATCAGAGCGCCCTAGCACCTGGGTACAAATCACTTCAGATTGTAGGACTCAAGACAGACTTTCTCAAGAAAGTAGGTTTGGAATTAGAACCTAAAGGATGGTGTCAACCAGCAGGAGCTGAGGGACATGGGGCTGGAAGACAAGTGGACTCCTTGGCTGACTTGCAGGCAGTAGCTGGTGGGCACAAACAAAATCTAGGAGGCTGGGCTGCTGTGGGGGAGGCCTGGAACGCTGGGCCAGGAAGTTAAGACAGTCTTTGCTTAATATAGGCAGGTGTGGGCACTAGCAACAAAAAACACTGGTCTCTGAGTTGATCTGTCTTTAGAGTATTCCAGTTGTCTGATCTCTGGAGATCTAGTGGAAAGGGAGCAAGGAAGACCATGCTAAGGGAGAAACTGGAAGAGGAGACGCTGTGGTGACAATACTGCGCCCCTGGGTCTTTGGAACGGCAGGTCCAGTTCAGGTATCTGAGGGAGTTCTCGGGCCAAACACTCCAAGGAGCAATGTTTAGAAGGTGACATTTGGACTCCTGGACTGAGAAGAACCAGTGAGGCAAGAAGAACGACCTGAGATGCCAACCACCCTGTAGCAACTCTGGGCTCTGGTCTTTGGATGACAAAGCTGGCTCTCTAACTAAGGAAGTAGCTGCCATTAGAAATCCTTCATGACAGGACAGGCTTGGTCATGACCTTGCTGAGCCAAAATACAAGTGGGGGTCTGTGTCATGGCCTCTGGGATATCCACCAGGCATACACCCAGATGGTGAATTCTGAGGGTGAAGTGCCCTAACTCTGTCCACATTCCCAGAGGAGTTGGAAAGAGGGCAAGCTCCCAGCTCTGCTCACCTCCGTCAGATCTCCATAAGGCAGGCTTCTCAGGTCCTTCTGGAGGCCACAGACACGCACTGTGTGCTGATACCTACAAGGGTCACAAGTCAGCATAGTCAGAAAGACCTCCACAACCACTGCTGTGTGCCAACATGGAGAGAAAACATAGTAGCTAAAACCAGGGGCTTTGGAATGAAAACAAACTGGTTTGAATCCAAACCTGAGTAGCAAGTACCTCTATTTCTCTGACATGTACCATTCCCTCAACCTCCATTCCCTAAAATTGGGATAATAACTTTCATTGAGCTGTAGTGAAAATGTAGTAGGGAATAAATGGAAAGCTGGTGCACTGCAAACCCTCTACCAAGAGCAGTTTCTGTTATCGTTGTCCCCCTACCCATCTTCTAATTAGAAAACTCAAACCACACAACACGTCTTCCTCTGTCTGTTGCTCTAATCCTAAACTCTCTTCACCCTTCTCCTTCCTGTGGCTCCCCGAGTTACAATGTACCCTTGTGATTTTACTTTAAGAATAAAATCTCTATTAGAGATGTCCTATACAAAGTTTCCCATCCCTTCCCTCTGCTGATCATCTCTGCGGAACTGTCCCAAAACAGGCACCTGCCCCTGGGCCCATCCCTCCTTAGTGCACCCTCAGTTTGCTGCTTCTCTTAACTCCCTTCTGGACTTGGGCATCTTGAGGGCAAAGATACATATGACCATCGCTGGGCCCTCAAGAGTGCCCATCCAGCATGTTCCAGGAATTTAGTAAAGTTTTTATTTCTTACATCCTAATTGATTAGTACAATCAACACCCTTGGTAGAAGCAGTCAGAAGACACATTTAGTTCAGGCTAAGGTGTGTCTGATTCACCCCTTTCAGCCCGTGATCTTTCTGATCACTTGAAGAAGTGATGCCTCTGAGCTGTGGTGTTGGAGATGAGACTATCCCCTGGACTGCTGAAAGAACAAACAAATATGTCTTGGAGAAAGTGCAGCCAGAGTGCTCCTTGGAGGCAAAGATGATAGAACTTCATCTCACATACTTGAGCTGCCAAAAGAGGCTATTCCTCGGAGAGGGCCATAGAGTGTGGAAAGGCGGAGGGTCGGAGAAAGAGAGGAAGACTCTCAACCAGATGAATGGGCACATTGACTGCCACCCTGGGACTGGCAGCTCCAGTGTGTCAGGAAGTGTGAAGATGGTACACAATGGAACAGGATTAAGATCTGTTGTTCACAGGGTCGCTATAGGCTGTACTCAAACTTGAAAACACTTAGTAACAACAGCGACTAGTAAAAGAACTCTCCTCTCTCTCTTCTAGTCTGCTGCCCTGGCATGAGAAAGCATTGTGGATGGAGGTGGAAGATTGGTGTGATTGTTGGATGCCCTGGAGTTACCTCAGGCTCATAGCAACCCAGTGTGTAGCAGAAGGAAACACAGTCCGCTCCTGCACGATTCTACACCACAGTTGTTCCTCTGTTTCAGCTCCTTGTCGCAGACACTGTGGCAACCCCTCTCACTGAGGGGCTCTCCCTCTTTGGCACTGACTCTCCACTCCACCCAACAAGAGGCCTTCCTCTAACAATTGGTCTTTCCCGATGATGTTTCAAAAGTAAGAAATAACTGAATCTTGCCATCCTTCTAGGAAGTGTTCTGGTTACACTTGCTCCAGGTCAGGTTTGCTTGTTCTTCTGGAGGCAAAGCCAAAGGCAGGACAGCAAACACTCAACAGAGCAGGACGGCTGGTGCCAAGGACTCCTGTTACATAAGCCCTTCCCACCACACCTGAACCTCCTAGTGACAGAGGGCCAGAGCCAAAGAGGAGAAGGAAAATAATAGGCTTGTTTCCTGCTGGGAACCCACATGCTGGTCAATGATTGCCAGCAAGGGTAGAGTTTGTGATTTCTCATATTAAAGTATGAAAGTCCAAACCAGGTATGCAGGTATTAGAGGGTTGGTTGGCAGCCAGATTGTTAAGATCAACTGTGTTTCTCTTTTTTTTCAATACTGTGACACTTCGAGAGGTCCCAAGGTGGCCAGCTGTCATGTGGCCCCATCAAGAGCAAATGATGCTGCTCTGGAGTTCAAGATGCACATCTAAGACTTGACCCTGTCATTTAGTAGCTTTGACCTTGAGTGGGTCAATTCACCTGCCTAAGTCTAAGCCCCTTCAGCGCAGCACTGATGTGGCACCAAGGTTTCCTTAAACAGGTGCTCATGGGACTTAAACAAGAGAATGCACAAGAGAGAACACCAAATTTGGCAAAGAACCATAGAAAAGTATCTGGGCATTACTTTCTAGAAATGAAAAATAATAAACTAAAGTGTATCAATTGTGACTTAAACTTTTATTTTCACTTCCTTTTTTTAAAATTTAATTTTATTAATTTTAATGAACATTTATGCAGAACAGATTATCCGGGAGGCTGGGCTCTATGAGGAGAAATGTGGGGGCAGGATTGGTGGACGATTTATCAACAATCTGCGTTATGCGGATGACACAACCCTGCTTGCTGAAACTGAGGAGGACCTGAAGCGCCTGCTGCAGAGTGTCAAGGACTGCAGCCTCCAAATGTCAAGAAGACAAAGATTCTCACCACTGGACCAATTGGCAGCATCAGGATGGATGGTGAAGAGACTGAGATTGTACACAGCTTTAGTTTGCTTGGCTCCATAGTCAACAGTCTTGGCACCAGCAGCCAGGAAATTAAAAGGCGCATTGCCATGGGAAAGTCTGCTGTTAGGGACCTCTCCAAAGTGCTGAAGAGCAGTGGTGTCTCTCTGGAGACAAAGGTGCGTCTGATACAGGCCATGGTCTTCACAATCACCTGTTATGCATCAGAGAGTTGGACAATGACCAAGGAGGATAGAAGGAGAACTGATGCCTTTGAGCTGTGGTGCTGGAGAAGAGTATTGAGAATACCATGGACTGCTAGGAAAACAAAGATTTGTCCTGGAGAGGGTTAAACTGGGTGGCTCCTTGGAGGCAAGGATTCTGAGGCTCCGTCTAACTTACTTTGGACATGTAGTGAGGAGAGACCGGTCCTTAGACAGGGACATCATGCTTGGGAGGGTGGAGGGACGGCGCAGGAGAGGAAGGCCCTCTATGAGGTGGATTGATTCAGTGACTGGGATAATTGGGATGGGAGTGTCAGAGACAGTGCGATTGGCACAGGACAGAGCGGAGTTTAGGGCTGTTGTACATAGGGTCGCTATGAGTCGCAGGCGACTCGACGACACATAACAACAACAACAACATTTACAGAGATTTGGGATTTCCATTGATTCATTGTTGCACTTTTCTCCCTGCCCACCCCTCCCCCCCAGTTCACTCTTCCCTTTGAAAAGTAAAATTCCTTCATTGGTATACAATCTCCCTGCAGCCCTACCACCACACTGAGTACACTCCACTATGCAACCTTCATTCTAGACTCCTGTCATAAACATAATACCCTATCATATATGGCTTTTAAACTGTTCTCTCATTTGTTTCAGTGCAGTATACATAATTTATGCAATTTTTCTCAATCTCTTCTCAACCCTGATGTCAGCCCCGTGACTTCAACTTTTTTAGAAAATCATTCGATAACTTTGAGAGCACTAAGGGTTTAGTGTACAATATGTTGGGCTGCTAAGTGAGAGGTCAGTGGTTTGAATCCACCAGCTGCTCTGTAGGCGAAAGAGGAACAGACTTTTCCCCTTAAACATTTACAGACTCGGAAACAAGATTTTGCTGTTGTTGTTGTTGTGGTGGTGGTGGTGGTGGTGCACAACTGAGTCAGAACGAGCCCATAGCTGACGTTCAGAGGGTTTTCAGAGGCTGAAATCACGTGGGAGGAGATTGCTCATCCTTTTCCGGCAGGGCAGGTAGCAGATTTGAACTGTGTGCCTTCAGGATTGCGGCACAGATTCATTCCTACACTATGCCCCCGAAAGCAGCCGAATGGCAGCGAGTTTGGTTAGGATAATACATCTTTAGCTCTGAGGACAATTACTACTAATGTCAAGGTCAACTAATGGCATGCCTGCTGCTCATGATTTCAAGCAAAGTTATGGATATTCAGCCTAAAACAAAAGTGTTGAGTTCATTTTTCTCCATCAGACACCATCTGCACTATTACAGAGAACCTTGGAACATATGGTACTCTGTTTTGGGATTAAAGGACCAATTCCATTGACTTCTCAGTGTGTGGTCACAGGTCTGCAGAAGATGTTGATCCTGACTTTCAGGTCAGAAAAAGAAAAACCAGCACCTACCTGGGTCTGATGAACATTTAATCAGAGCTCATCAGAGAAATCCACTTGGGCATCATCACCAACAGAAGCATCTGTAGCACATGTATATCAACTCTGACAGTATCCACGCTTTCAAAGTTAATATTACCTTTGATGATCATACTCTTCTCCAAACAGTATGTTTTCTCTCACATTTCCATGGAAGATCCAAGCTTGCTGGGAGACATAGGCCAAAGTTCCCTTCACAGCCACCACGCCTTCTTGCAACTGCATCTAAAGCAACAGTACCAGGGAGCTTTCAGAAGCCACATTCTGAAGAGTTCTCCTGAGATATCTATCGCACCCTTACCGCATGCCAAATATGATGGAGCAGGAGGTTGACAAGATGTTATAGTGCAAAGCCCAAGTAAACAAATCAGGGATCTCTACGTCAAAATCAAGGGAACTCATGGAACTCATGCAATATTATTCAAAATGGTTGACTCTGGAGAACATTATGCTGAGTGAAATATCCCAGTCACAAAGGGACAAATATTACATGATGCCACTGTTGTAGAATGGGACTGTCCTTGGGGTTGGGGAGAGACTGAATAAGATGGGTTCAATGATGTGTGCTGCACTGA